ACTTCTTGGATTCAGGATGGCATGGAATCTTTTATTCCATCTCAACAATTCCAAGTCAAGTCTCACTCTTTTCCATGGTTTTCGATTTCCAATCAAAACCATTACTTTCATATCTATCAACATAATGATTCTTTAGAAAACAGATAAAAACATTGTAAAAAGGTTTTTCCTAACGCCAAAGCCCGCTATTTTTAGATCATGAAATATTGTATTTCATCCAAAAAACTAAGCTCTTGTGACTTCTTGAGAATCTTTAACAGTATCAATAATAAGAGCAAATCTGTTATTCCACCTCTCTTCTACAGTTCAGGTTTTGTCATCTCACCTAAAAACAAAAGCTGAATTGTTTGCTAAGAACTTTTTATCAATATCATCTTTTGAATCCACTAGTTGCGTTCTACCTGATATTGCAGACAAACAGGTTGATCCATTGCTTGACATTTGTAATTCTCCAGCTTCTGTATCTAAAGTGATTTTCTGCTTAGACTCTTCTACAGCTTGTAGTCTGAATGATATACTTGTTGTAGTCTTGCAGAAGTGTTCTCCGAAGCTGTAGTCTATACTCTCAAAACTATTTAACAAGTGCTTATTGGAGTCTTGTTTTCCAGCCTGCTGGAAATTTTCCGGCATCTGTTATTCCTATTTTGAAAAATTCTGGAGAGCGAGAATGCCTCATCTATCTACCGTCCTATTAGTCTTCTTCCTATCATAAGCAAAATTTTTGAATTTTTAATTAACTAACACCTAATCTCTCATCTTGAACTAATAACTTACTTTCTGATTATCAATACGGAGTTCAATTTTCTTGTTCTACAGACGATTTGCTAACTGTAACTCTGAGGTGGAGAGGTTATATCTATCACTCTTGATATTTCTAAAGCTTTTGATAAAGTTTGGTATGCTGGTCTTATCCATAAGCTTTCTTCCTACAGTGTATCAGGTAACATCTTTAAGATTATCGTATCTTTTTTTTCCAATCATAGTATAAAATTTGTCCTCAATAGACAGCACTTTTCTTTATGTCCTGTAACTTCAGGGGTTCCTCAAGGTTCTATCCTTGGCTCTATACTTTTTTTAATTAATATTAGCGATCTTCCAGATATTCTCTTGTCTAAGGTGGTATTGTTTGCTGATGATACTACCATTTATCCTTGTCTTGATAAGAAGCCAACACTCTCTGATTGTTTGGAGGGGACAATTCAATTCTCAATTATGTTACAGCATGGGGCTCACAGTAGCTGGTGAACTTTAATTTAGATAAGACCCAATTTTTTTAGCCAATCGTCACCACAATAATTTAGATCTTCCTATATTTATGAATGGTGATGTATTCAACAAGTCATCTAGCCTTCATCTAGAATTAAGTCTTACTTTAACTTGTTTCTCTACGCGTAAACGGCAAAAGTTTCCGGTCATTTAAAATTTTAATAGTTTCAAAATTCTTTGTTAGTTAAAAAATAGTTTGAAAAAAAATTTACTAATGCATTATTGAAAATAAAAATTATAAATATATGTTTTCTTTATTTTTGTATTATAAAGTTGCAAATAAAATTCAACTTTTTTCTTCCGAGGACAATTTTTTGCCTTTTTTTGACATTAATATAAGTTGAATAGATAAATTATTTGAATGCATTATATACATTACATTTAATAAATACACTGATTACAGTTAATAAATTAGTTTAGTATTTTTTATAGATGAATTTAGTTTTTATTTTAAATTTATAAAACTGCAATTTGATTATTTTTAGATATTAAAAAGTTGAAAATTGTTGTATAATGTCAAAGAAATCTAATTTATCACTTGAAAAAAGTTCTAGTAATCTTCCAAAATTGTTGAAACTACCGAACTCAACAGTGAGTGATACTATTTGACGGTTTAATTGTATTCCTAAAAATAAAGATAGGAAAAGAAGCAGGCGTCCCTGCAAAACATCAAAGTCTAAATAAAATTCAATTATAAAATTAAGTTGTAAACAAAATCTAAATGTCGTTAAACTATACAATTATATTGTAAATATAATTGTCATGACTTTATGTATAGCAAGTATTTAAGGTGGTTCCTAAATTATTGGGGTCTGGGAATAGATTGTCTTGTTGTCAGAGTGGTCCTCTCCTCCATTATTATTTAAATGATATGATATTAAAAAATAGAAAGCATATATTATAGAAAGCATAAATTACTTTGTTATTTTAATTGCAATTTATAAAATAATTATTAATATATAAATATTCCAATTAAAAAAGTTATACCCATATGTCTAAATCGTCATATGTCTTAATTGTCATGTCTAAATTGTCATATCTCTAAATCGTCATATGTCTAAATCGTTATATGTCTAAATCGTCATATGTCTAAATCGTCATATGTCTAAATTGTCATATGTCTAAATCGTTATATGTCTAAATCGTCATATATCTAAATCGTCATATATCTAAATCGTCATATGTCTAAATCGTCATGTCTAAATCGTTATATGTCTAAATCGTCATATGTCTAAATCGTCATATGTCTAAATCGTCATATATCTAAATCGTCATATGTCTAAATCGTCATATGTCTAAATCGTCATATGTCTAAATCGTCATATGTCTAAATCGTCATGTCTAAATCGTTATATGTCTAAATCGTCATATGTCTAAATCGTCATATGTCTAAATCGTCATATTTCTAAATCGTCATATGTCTAAATCGTCATATGTCTAAATCGTCATATGTCTAAATCGTCATATGTCTAAATCGTCATATGTCTAAATTGTAATATGTCTAAATCGTCACATGTCTAAATCGTCATATGTCTAAATCGTCATATATCTAAATCGCCATATGTCTAAATCGTCATATATCTAAATCGTCATATATCTAAATCGTCATATGTCTACATCGTCATATGTCTAAATGTCATATGTCTACATCGTCATATGTCTAAATGTCATATGTCTAAATCGATTTTTAGTCATTTTAGTCAATTTTAAAAATTTCCATTTATTCAACAGTTGAAATATTTAATAGTCATAACACTAGAAAAAAGTGATCTAAAATTGGATATTCAGAACATGGTTTATCAAGAACAATTGCATTGTTCAAATGCATGTTCATTTTAAATTGTTAATGCTATATACTAAATTTTTTAACAATACAATTTTTCTTATCTTTTATTTTAATTTTTACAATCTTTTGTTGAATTTGTTTATATAATATAGAACAAATAACTCATCAGGGTTAGGGTTAAACAGTTTTATAGTGAGAATAACTCGTCAGGGTTAGGATGTTGACATGTTAAGATGATGAATGTTATTAACATGTTGAATGATTTTTTTTGTGGATACAATTAGAGTTAACTGCCTAAAGTATAAGCATTTACATATCTGATCTTATCATAGAAGTGCAAGAGTGTAATTATGCTAAAAATGAGCCTTCTAACTGATGCTTTTTGTGTATTGTAGTTTTAATATTTTTGTAGTTATAATTGATCTTAGTAAGTTTATTTTCTTCAACTTTATTTACTCATCAAATTTCATAAGGTTAAGTCTCAACTTTAATTTTTATAGCTTCAATTGTGTGACTCTTAATTGTATAATGTACATTGCACAACTTAATTATATAATATATAACATAATTGCATGATTTGCAATTAAAATATTGTAAAGAATTAAATATTACAAGCGTGCTTACATTTTAAATATTATAAGTTGTACATTATACAACTAATAGTAACAATTAAAACTTTAGAGTTAAGGCCTAATAAAATATTTACAATACAAACATTTTATTTCTTTGCAAATATTAACCAAAACATAAAAAAAATTGTTCATTGAATAATTATTATTAATTAGTTATAAAAAAAAATTTTAACAAAAAAATAAGGTGCCTTTTAAAAATATAAATAAGATCATAAAATATAAATAAAATTATAAAGTATAAATAAAATTATAAAATATAAATAGAATATAAACAAAATTATAAAATATAAATAAAATCATAAATTTAGATGTCAAAAAATATAATAGTTAGCTGCAAAAATGCAATGGGTTATGAGCAACCTTATTAATGTTATTGTTGGAGTTGCCACATCTTGGCAACTGAGGAGTCGCAGCATCGGAAAGAATGGGAATTGCTGTTATAATGATACCTTTTCTTTTTTAGAATAATTCCAATGATGTGTTGTAAATTCGGTTAAACCTGCTTTAGTTGCCAAGCTCGAGCCTCTATCTTATTTTTATAAGTTTGCATTTCTTCACTTTTCCATAATTATTCTCAAATTTACTGCAAGCTAGCTATTATCTTATATTACAACTGCCACGCCAAATAATTTTTTAGATGCAGACAGAAACTGGTATAGTTCCTGTTTGCATTTCATCAGCTAAGAACCAGGAGAAAATTGTTGTTACAGAGAAAATTTAATTTTAGGTTTTAGCATGTAAATACTTTCTGCCAGAAAGTCCTACAAAAATAATAAAACTTTATGAAATTTTTTGATTATCAAAATATTTTATAAGGTTTTTGAGACCAAATTTAGTGAACACAAAATTTTTATTTTTGAGACCAAATTTAGTGAACACAACCTCCACTGGTTAACAAATATTTATTAATAATAAACAAACAAAAAAAACAAAAACAATTTGTGATGAAAGAAGTTCTAGAGTTTGATCCTCACCACATCCCTTGTAGTAGTGTGCTCAACTTGTTTCTCTGTGCAGCGTCCTTGTTTGTCAAGGTTCATGTTTCAGAGTTAAAAAGTTGTAACCACTATTAAGTCACTTCCTCAACTGTAGTGGCTCATTTAACACAATGCTGATTATTTTACATTTGATAAAAGTAGATTTGTATTTTTTATTTATTTGGGGGTCAAAAATTACTGTAATTTTGTGATAATTAGAATGCAAGATACATACTTAATAATATTTGCTTTATATACACCAATGTGTATATAAAGCTAATGTGTAACTCTTATGTTAAATTTTTTTTGAAATAATAGTAAATATATTTTTTTGTTAAGGGTGGTAATCAAACAGCAACTGTGATATCTTTATGTGCTTTGAGAGATCTTAATTTACATCAAGAAGCATGTCAATTAGCTATGAGAGATGTCGGAGGGCTAGAAATACTTATTAATCTTTTGGAAACAAATGAACTCAAATGCAAGGTATTGTGGACTTTATAATTAATTCAAGATAAAAACATAAAATTACTCAGAAAAGTACAATAAAGTTCACTTTTATTTAATGGTCTACATAAAATAAAGTTATTATTTGTATACAATTTTTTAAAATGATTTGTTTAAAGTTTACAGAAAAACAAACTTTGAGTTTGCAAACTTTTCTTTCAAACATCGGCGTTTGCTTAAAAATTTGAAAAATGGATAAATGTTTTGACAATTTTCTATTATATTTTTTATTTATTATAAACAAAATGTTTGTTTTTCTGTTTTGTTAAGTGGAACATTTGTTTTGTCATTTTATTTTAACTATTTTATTAAGAACTTATAGGATACAGTATGCAAAAAAATATTTTTACGCTTAAAAAAATCACATCTTTTATGTTTGTGACCAAAATTTTTGTCTAAGAAAGTAAAGTTTTTATAAAAACTGCATTTAAATAATAACATTAGAATAATAATAACAAAATATTAACAAGATTTTATAAAAAAGAATCATAGTTTTCTTTTGTGCTATGGAAATTTAAAGAGTTAGTTAAAAAAGTGCAGCAAAAAAATAATCGTTCATTTTAAAAATAATGTCAAATTAATCAAACTTTATGGAAGTCAGTATCGAGTGGGACCTCTTTTGACCTTGATTGCCTCAGCTAGACAATTTGGCATTGAATTGACCAAATTTTGGGAATCTTCTGTTGTTGAATCTTGCAAGTTGTCTTTAAGAATTTTACAATACATTTATACTTCCATTTTGTCATCAATAAGTGTGAATATCCCCACTTCTTTTTAGTTCATACTACCCCTTTACACTCTCGCAAACAATTGAATTTATAAGCTTCTAATTTTTTTTCGCTACACTTTCTAGACTCCATTCGTATTTTGACTCAACTGACCACAAATTTTTTTTACAATATATCAGCATTTTTTTTGTACTTCTTTGCAAATTTAATTTGGCGTTTCATTTCATGTTTGTTTGTGTTCTGTTTATTCTCTGATGCAGCGTGAGCTCAGTAACTAGCTACTTACTCCAACTACAAAACCTACTCTCACCTTAGACTCCTGTATTTTGTTAGATGCAGTGTTTTTCTTAATGCACTTCCAAAATGTCATGCCTGGTTTTCTTAAAGTACTGTTGCAGGAAGTAACTCCTTTTAACTACTCCAGGTCAGGTCAGGATAATCAAGATTAATCTTGCTACTGGTATCACGTAACCCAGTACTACATGCCACAAGCCCTGCTGCCTTGCAGAGTGTGCTCTTCTTAGGCAAAGGCTAGGAGAAATAAACTCCGACTAAAAATTCCCCTGCCTTGCGGCTCTTGGTTGAGTAAAGGCTAGAGATGGTGTCTCGATAAAAACACTCATCTTGGGCAGATGTTAACTGCATCCAGCTAAACATCCCCTGCCTTGGGGCTCTTGGTTGAGTAAAGACTAGAGATGGTGTCTCTAGAGATGGTTCTGAGGCCGGCTGGTAGTAAGGTTTCCCGAACTCTGTGGTAGCTCTCAGAGAGGCTGATTCCATCAACAGCTGCAAAATATCAGAGTATTAACAGTGCCATGTTGCGCATGGATGGTGTCCCTGTTAATGCTTTTGGTGTGCATTGTCAAGGCCACATAAGAAGCCCTATGTCACGGCTTAGGGTTAATTAACAGGACTGAGACAACTGCATAGCTCATTGATTAGGAGGCTGTGCTCTATCTATGAATGAGTTAAGTTCTCATTAAACCCAAATCATAACCAAAGTAACCAAAAATTTTAAACCTAAAAAACCATCCCCACCACCTAAATGTTTTAATATATCTTTTACAAATATTCGAGGTCTGCGAAGCAACTTTGCGTCAGTTGAGTCTTACCTCCTGCAAAATTCACCAGACTTGCTTGCACTCAGTGAAACAAATTTAAATTCTGCAATTCCTTCTTCAGATGTCAGTGTTGATGGGTACTATCCTTTGATTCGTAAAGACTCCAATAGTCACATGCTAGGTTTAGGGGTATACATACGCATTAATTCCCCTATTTGTCGTGAAATCAGGTATGAATCCTTTGACCATTCTTTTATGTGCTTTCGCCTAGCACCTCTTCACTCTATCACCTTTCTCTTTGTTCTTTATCGTTCTCCATCTTCCCATGATTGCACTCTCTTAGATGTTATCTCTGATCAAATTGACCATGCCCTCTCTCTTTACCCCTCTGCCAATATTGTTGTTGTTGGTGATTTTAATGCCCATTACACTGAATGGCTTGGCTCTAACACCACTGGTCCTGCTGGCACTAAAGCCTTTAACTTCTGCATTTCTTAATCTCTTACTCAGATAGTTAACTTTGTGACTCGTTTTCCTGACAACCCTAATCATTTACCTTCACTCCTTGACTTATGACTTGTCTCTGACCCTAGCTTATGTTCAGTTTCTCCCTTTTCTCCCTTAGGTGGTTCTGACCATGCAATGATCTCTATAAATCTTTCTTTTCGTACTTCTTTTTTGGGCTCACCTTATCATCGCACCACCTACTACTACCCTAAAGCTGACTGGGATTCTTTTCGTGATTTTCTTCGTGATGGTCCTTGGGGTGATGTTTTTTCTCTCTCAGCTGATAAATGCGCCTCCTATGTAACCTCCTGGATTCAGGCTCGAATGGAAGCTTTTATTCCTTCTCATCGGTTTCAAGTCAAGCCTCATTCTACTCCATGGTTTTCTCCTTCTTGTGCGGCTGCTATATCCAATCGTAATCATTTTTTTCATCTTTTTCAAAAGAACAACTCTCTTGAGAACAAACGGCTATTTATTAGTGCAAGAAATCGATGTAAAAAGGTGCTTTCTGATGCTAAACTCCATTATTCTCATTTCATTAAATCTTGTGTCTTATCACAGAAGTTAGGCTCTAAAGACTTTTGGAAAATCTTCAACAGCATTATTAACCAGGGTAGATTCAACATTCCATCTCTTATTCATGGGACTTATCTTATTACCTCTCCCAAGGATAAGGCAGAACTATTTGCAAAGAACTTTTCTTCTAATTCCACTCTTGAATCTTATGGACATTCTCTTCCTTCCATTTCAGTCAAACAGGTTGACCCATTGTTAGACATTCAAATCACTCCAGCTTCTGTTGCTAAAGTCATATCTCAATTAAACTCGTCTACAGCTTGTGGTCCAGACAACATTCCTGTCACAGTCTTGCAGAATTGTTCTCCAGAACTTTTTTCAATTCTCTCTAAACTATTTAACAAGTGTTTGACTGAGTCTTGTTTTCCTGCTTGTTGGAAAATGGCATCTGTGGTTCCAATATTCAAAAACTCTGGAGAAAATTCTGACCCCTCCAATTATCGTCCGATCAGTCTTCTTTCTGTTATTAGCAAGGTCTTTGAGTCTTTGATAAACAAATTCCTCACATCTCATCTTGAGTCAAATAAACTACTGTCAGGCAATCAATATGGTTTTCGATTCTCTCGCTCTACGGCCAACTTGCTAACTGCTGTAACTGAAAGATTTTGTCATGCATTAGATGGAGGCAGTGAGGCTAGGGCTATTGCTCTCGACATATCAAAAGCTTTCGACAAAGTTTGGCATGCTGGTCTTCTCCATAAGCTTGCTTCATATGGTGTTTCTGGGAAAGTTTTTGAGATTATCAAATCATTTCTTTCTAACCGGTTTATTAAAGTCATCCTTGAGGGTCAACAGTCTTCTTTATTTCCAGTAATTTCTGGGGTTCCTCAAGGTTCCATCCTGGGCCCTGTTTTGTTTCTTATCTACATTAACAATCTTCCTGACAACCTTTCATCTAAAGTAACTCTTTTTGCTGATGACTCAACTTTATACTCCTGTTATGACAAAAAGTCTTCTCTTTTCGATCGCCTAGAACAAGCAGCTGATCTCGAATCCGATCTCACTTCAGTAATAGATTGGGGTTCACAGTGGCTTGTGAATTTCAACTCTAACAAAACCCAGTTATTTACTGCAAAAAACTATTGTAATATGGTCAACATTCCTATATTAATGAATGGCAATTCTCTTACTGAGTCCTACTCTTTACGTCTTCTTGGATTATCGCTTACTACTGACCTTTCATGGAAACCATATATACAATCGATTGCTAAATTAGCTTCTGCTAAGGTTGCTTCTCTTTATTGTGCTCGCCATTTCCTTACTTCTGATTCCATTCTCTACCTCTACAAATCTCTTATTCGTCCCTGTATGGAATACTGTTGTCATATTTGGGCTGGTTCTTCTAACGATTCACTCTCTCTTCTTGACAAGGTCCAAAAACGCATTGTAAATGTTGTTGGACCTGGACTATCTGCTAAGCTTGAGCCTCTTTCCCATCTTCGTAAAGTTGCATCTCTTTCTCTTTTCTGCAAATACTATCATGGTCACTGCTCAAAGGAGTTATCATCTCTAGTTCCATCAACTAAAATTCATTCTTGTTTTACTCGTCATTCAGCTAAGTCTCATTCGTTTACTGTATCTGTCCCTGCATGCTCTAAAAACTTTTATTCATCTAGTTTTTTTCCCCGCACTTCAATCCTTTGGAACTCTCTCACATCTTCATGTTTTCCTGACTCATACAACCTTCAACTTTTCAAGTCTTCTGTCAACCGTTTCCTTGCTCTATAACTCTGTTCTTTTTTTTCCTAGTAACTCCCAATTTAATAGTGGTTGCTTGCAGCCTTGTTGAGAGTGAATGCAAATAAAAAAAAAAAAAATTATTTTTGTAGTTAAAAAAGTTTCTTTCAGAACTAATCTACCTATTCTTGTTCTCGAATACAATTTCTGATTGTTTGAGGAGTCGCTGTGATGTTGTGATCTTCTTGCACTTTTATAGCTAATTTTTTTGTTCTCTACCAGCCACACTAGCAATGGTTTCAAACAGATCATGCTTCATAACAGTTGAGGGCTTTGTCATGAAAAGAATTCAATACATGATCTACCAGCTCCTCCTCTTAAAAAAGCCACTGTTGTTAAATAACTTGCAATTTAGTTTAACAAAGATTTT